TTCAACTTGTACTGCATATACTTAGCAGACTGAGTTTAGGACTTGGCTTAAATTGTATTTCTCAATGCTGCTTTCACCTTTGTAGTTTTATTCTGCCGATATTTCACCATGTCCCATTGTGATGGTCTATGGCAAAAGATTCCCACTGTAGTGTAGTGGACAGAGTGACAGACTAGGGCTTAGGAAGCCTGGGTTTGAATCCCTACTTGGTCATAGAGATTCACTGGTGGGGGTGGAATTGGTAAACCCTAAATATGTTGCTCACCTTTAAAGCCCTGTTCAGGTCACTATAAGTTGGAGAGAGCACACAACACACACACACACACACACACACACACACACACACACACACACACACACACACACACAGAGAGAGAGAGAGAGAGAGAGAGAGAGAGAGAGAGAGAGAGAGAGAGAATACAATTTAAGTTGTATGGTGAAATCAGTAATAAACAAGTAAAGTCAAAGCTTTCTTGCTCCCAGCAAAGTTTATTTATTTTGGGTCTCAAAGGCAGAACAGCTATGGAAAGTTGTTTTGAGATAAAAGAACAAAGAAAAACAAGTGGTTTCAGCTGCTATCTTGTTTAAATCTCATACGAGTTGTGTGTGTTCTGCAGCCTGTTTCCTGAAGCAAAACACAGCAGAAGTCCAAAGTCTAGAGGCAACCCAAGACATTTTGCTGCCTAAGGCCAAGAAAAAGATGGTGTTTCAATTACACGCACAGACACTGTATGGAAAGGCAGATGAAGCTTACTTGAACAGTGATAATGAGACAAGCCAGTAAGCAGCAGGAGCACTTTTAGGAGGTAAAAGGGGATACACGTGCAGCAAAGCAAAGTAGTAAAGCACTCTCTGGGCAGTTTACAATTTAATTCTGTAGGCTACACGTTGCCCCCCAGCCAGCAAACTGGGTACTCAATTTTTCTGACCTTGGAAGTATGGAAGGCTGACTGAATCTTGAGCTGGCTATCTGGGATTGAATTTGGGTTATGAGCAGATTTTTTGACTGCAGTACTGCAGTTTAACATCTGCGCCACGAGCAGGGACAGAGAGAGTTCTGCCCCTTCATGATAGAGGAAAAGTTTGGGAGTTCCTGTGAAATAAGTGGAGGGGGAATAGCCCTGCTGCTTCAACGTTCCTGCCCCCTGAAGTGGTTGCCTCATTCTGCCTAACTGTAGAGCTGGACCCCCAAATATTCCACTCTGCAAAAAGCTAGCACCTTCCCACGGCTTTCCTCCTGCTAAGAGCTAATATTGCACTGAAGCATTCGTTGAGAAACGCCATCCCGTATTTACTTAACATTTAAAAAGCACAGAAATTACGCTCAGTGTCCTTGCTCTTATCCTCTTTAATAATGCATCCAGCCTGAGCAGCTGCTTCAGGCGTGCTCCTCTGCACCCTGAACAAAACAGAGCAATATGGCTCACCATGCAATGGCTAGTCAAAGAAATAGCTTGGGATCTGCTGTTCTTTTAATAGGGTTTATCGTTTCCATCCCTAAGAAATAGCTTGGGATCTGCTGTTCTTTTCAGTCACCTTTTAATAGGGTTTATCATTTCCATCCCCTTTTGTTGTGTAGAGGTCAGAGAAAAGGATTAGGGTTTGGGAGACCTGGATTGAAATCCTTGCTTGGCCACAGAACATGCCAGGGGAACTGATAAAACCACTCCCTAATTAGTTCACCTTGAAAATCCCATTAAGGTCACTATCACTCAGTTCCATCTTGATGCCAGTTGAAACACATACCCCACTCCATCCCAATCTAAGACCTAACGCCATGTTGCATTAAATGCCGAACTGCTGGCATAACAGTGCCCTCCCTTTCTTCCCTTGCTGCTCTCTGCAAAATCCTCTCCTGAAGTCAGCTTGAAGGGCAGCCAAGAAGTTGTGGGAATAAAACAGGATTCCCCCCCCCAAGAAAATCATCCCACAATGCTCTCTTCAGCTCTATCTCAAGTACTATCTATCCCATATTTTGAGCACAAACTGAAAGTCAGCTGACAATTTTTCTGCTATCCCTTCCTAAAGATTACTTCGATTACTGGAAAGTCCAAAATCTACAGTGAAGCAATAAATTGGGCATAACCATAATCTCACAAAATAATAAGCAACCTTTTCCCAGTGTCCACTGCATATCCAACTCATCCAGAGCCTGGAAAGAGTTCCTTTTGGAAGAAAATGGTAACTTCCAGAATCTTTCACTAGATATACTGTAATTGTGTTTCATGGTTTTCCCTCCAAAGTTTTCTGTGAAAGGTCAAGCAGTGAAAACTCAAAAGTAACCAAAGCAGTGAATATTGTTTTGGCTGAATTCTGTTAGATTTTGCATTGATAAAGACAGTCACAAAACTAGACTACAGGGTGATGACACAGTGCAAAGGCACTCTTATAACACTGGGTTAGTGTTGCTAAACTGGCCAGTCCATGACATGGCACTGACACAAGATTATGAGCTGATGCTACTATGCCACATTGTTTGCATCATTATGTGTGGCATAATGGACTTAAAAGACATTAAATTCTGGTTTCTATGCATATCCAGTTGAGAATAATCTTGATCCTGCCCAGTCTTTTTAAGCACACAACCAGGATACTAAAACCATGGGAAAGAATGGATAGGCAGTACAATCCAATTTGAGTGAAAGCAGTCCTAGATTTTGTACTTACATTGGCAAATCAGATTCCCCCAGAAATACCCACATTTAGGGACTTGTGGCTATGATCCTCCCCCGGAAGGTGGTTTTTTTCTTCTTCTTTTGGTCCCTGATATCTGGTATTGAGAAGTATATTGTCTCTAAACATAAATGGTCCATAATGATTAGGCATCATGACCCTTAACTCTCGCTAACTACTTAGTTCTACTGTAATCCACAGTGTACTTATATGGACTTAAATCTAACATAACTCAGAACAACCTCCTTCCTGGACAGATGTCTGGTGACTCTGAAAGCTTCAATATAAAAAGGAACTTCTTAAAGCTCTGAATAAGATGGGGGCAGACTAATACAGTATACTCTCTGTTGATTTAAAGATAATAGTGCTACTTAGGTGTTTTCCTGAACCTGTGGAGGGTTAAACAGATGGTAACAACATGGGCACCCACGTAATCCCTCCTCTCAGAACCTCTCTACACACTTGGCAGCATCATGATCTTTGCATGTTGACCCCAAAGGTCTGCAGAAGGTTTTGCAATAATGTGGCTGAATGTACTTCAATGGTCCCATAATCAGGAATCTTCATCAGGTCAAGTCTCTAATGATCTCCAACCGTCAGAACTCTGCAAGAATGTTCAGCGACGGTTAATGGCAGAGGTCTCCTCAAACTTTTACACCCAATCATAAAAGTTGTTGATTTAAGAAAATGCAGGATTTCCAGGCCTACATTTTTATTTTGCTTTGTTATAGCAAGAATAACAAATATATTTTGCGAACACAGAGAGAGGAATGTTTTTAAAAGCAGGTGAAGGGGCTCTGAAATGCTGAAAGCTGCAACAACCCAGTTTTATTTATCCGGTATTCATGATTTGTAGCTTATGAGGTTAGGATCAAGAACTGAAGTCATGTATTCTTCCCTTACCAGTTTTCGTACACAAAAAGGGCTTGTATTACATCAGAATTCTTCAAAACTGGAAAATCTGGTTAATGTTGGAAAATGAAGACAAGAAATCAAGATCTCACACTGTTTGAAGACTATGAACAATCTGTGACTGGGCTCTAGTACAAGAATATTTATTGGCCACCAAAACAATTAGTAACTGTTAAGGCATCATACTGTACTGTATAAGCTTTTAAATTGGCACAGCAGACTTCCTTTAAATGCTGTTTTTAGGAGCAGCAGAAGATACTTTACATGAACTTGGATCACTGATCCCTCTTAACCTTGTAATGTCAGCTCTGAATGATAAGAACTGCCCCAGAAATCCGCCCTGATTCTTTCCTACTCCAAGGTGGAGCTGTCTGGTCCTTCTCGGTTTGCACGTACAAAGCAGGCCTCCTCATATTTGGCTTCAGAAAGCTGATGAGATCAGGTGGGTCCAAGGTCATACAATTGTATTTTGTTCCTCAGTTTAAAAATAAACGCAGAACCTAAAATGTTTCTTTTTCCAAACCTTCCTCTGCTGACGGCTTTCCTTTCTGCTTTATTTTTGTAGCTGCGATCATCTCCTATTTTTATGCCACGATTTATGTCTTCATGCCTCATGGTTCTGTCCTTGTTTTGGGAACGACTTAAAAAGAGAGTTTGGGCTCCCGGCCAGAATATCAAACTTCAGTATCAAATGGGAGCACAATTAGGAGAACCTTGACACAACAATGCACCTACTCGGCTGCCGCTTTGTTGTTGCCTAAATGGGCTACGACTGTACAATTCCCTCCCTTTGAAGCCGGCGACACGCTTCTGCAGTTACACGTGTAACCGATACCCACCCACCCCCAGCCAGCAGCACTAGGGACGGCTCCACGTGGTCTGCTCCCGGCCAACCTGCTCCTAGCCGCGGGAGGGGCAAGAGAAGGCGTGTCCTTCCCCCCCATACACGCCTCCCAAAAGAGAGTGGGCGGAGCCTGAAGCGGCCGGGCAGACGTTCGCCCCCATGCCTTTGACGCCATTGGCCGAGGCGCCGCGTCCTCCTATTGGGCGGCTCCTCCCCCAGGAGGGGCGTGGCCCCGGCCTGACGCCTCTTTCGGCTGGGGACCGTCTGGGGGTCCGCGAGTAGCCCG